CCAACAGAATAGATAATGAAAAGTTGTACTCGCCATTAGATAAGACGGCATTATTTTGGGCATAGTGAGTATTCAATCAGAGTTCTTTTCAATAGAATGAGTAGAATCTTCAAGCTTGTGGTGCGGTTTGACAGATACCAGACAGATTCTAATCCCCTAGAGGTACTGCTGCAGCTCATACGAAGTACAGGCCAGTTTGGATAAAAATGCTTTTTGAAAAAAAGGCCTAAAGGACCTTAATGAAATCACGAGGCCGTCTAATCAGTTTAGTTTGGGAATTCATTAGCCAATGGCCTAGAGCGAATAGAGTCCATATAAAATTTCGAACACCCCTCACCACGTATAAAATTATGTTGTTTACTAAGTAGATAACAGAATAATAAAATAATTATTCATGTATCGACTTGATTTAGGAGACTTTTTAATCTTACGCCGTGATTGTAAGAAAACCTTCTTCGAGTAGCCGAATATTGACGAGGTATCTTCAATATGAGCCTTTTCGAGGCTAATAGAAAATCTCGAATATGAATTTTGAGTCGTATTTTGAACCAAAGGCATTCGTGGAAACATGGCGTGTTGGCTAACTTATTGAAATTACGCGCTACACTGTTATTGTTCGACTCCCACTGGGGGAGTTGATATGATCTAGGCGAGGTCGAAACAGGGAAAGTAAGGCTCATATCATTGTGGGAAAATTCAACCACCGGCCCCCTTATCACCATAAGCGAAATAGGATGAATACAGCTCATAAATATATGAGCTACTGGTAGTCTCGAAAGCATACTTATAAACAAAAGATAAATTGACTTGCCTGTCTGCCGGGACAATATTCAAAACGGCACAGGTACCGTTATGGCTGCCGGTGAGGTGCAAGTGAAGCAGCAGCTGATGGGGCGGAGACACGCCACCGCCACTCCCGGCAAGCGCCCCTGGCACCGTTGAAGTGTGGGTTGAATGATGACCACCAAAGCCTGCTCCTGGAAACTGTAAGGGCGTTTGTGAAGCCAAGGGATGGTGATTGGCGTGCATAAGCACGCTCGAGGCACTAACGCTACTGACCGACCGACCGAGGCTGGACGAACCGCTTGGTTTGTTGGGCTCTTGGTTGGCATGGCCGCCTCCGTTAGTGGGCGTGGGGGTGGGCGATTTCTTCTGACGAAACGATGGAGATTTGCCCAGATGACTCACAAATCCAACTGCATTCGCTTTGGAGGAAGAGGCTGAAACGATGCCAAAACCAAAATGATAGAAATAGATGCAAAAGAGATTTAGCGACCTTCCAGCAGAACAATTCATCTCTTATTTTACCAAAGTAATAACATTGCCTACGATGCTGATCTGACCTAATAACAATTAGAATTTCTTATCCATGTAAGCCTACCCTGTTTGTAGTTTTTAGTGACACTTAACAATATTTGACCCTAAATTAGACTGAATAAGTGAGTCATTTTCGTCAGCCATCCTGAGAAGACTACATGCATACAAAATGAGAAGGAAGACTTCTCTAGATCGAAATTACATCTTTTCATCACAGTCCGAATAAAGGTTAACTTATAAAAGAAGAAAAGACTAGCATTCTTGAAGCAAGAATGAGTTCCAGCTCTGACGCTATTCGCCACGTGGCATGACAGATGAAAGTTCAACCCGAAACGATGAAGAAGGACTTGCGACCTGCATACACCTAAAGTTGATATCAAAATAAAATAACTAAGGAATGATGCCAATCATCCGTCTTTGTCCTGTTAGATCAGCCTACTATTATTCTGAGAGCACGTAGTTTTAACTGCAAATGAATTCACCACAGCAGAATGTTGAAACCATCAACAGTTACATTCCATCATTGGGTGACTGAGAAACGGGATTTCGTAGAATTCCTCAGAGATATAGTGTGACATAACAGTCCACTTCGAAGGAGAAGTTGGCTAGAAGGAATTCGTAATGTCGTCTGACTGGAAACCGAAAGAGGATTGCCGCGTAAGGAATACTGTTGCATTGTGCAAAAAAGTACTCGGCTTACAGTCCTGTCACCCCGATGAACCTGTGTTAACTGGCATATCTTTCATTTCCTTTGAAGGAATTCGTAGATTGGCCTCACCGGATACCGAAGGAGGATTGTCTTTGACATTCATCTGTTGAATCCTGCCAAGTAGATTTCGGCTCACAGTCATACGACCCCAAAGACTCCGTGCTGAGCTTTCGTCCGTCATCTGACGGACATCGTCAGAGCCGGAAAGCATTATTCACGAACAATCACCGAAAACACTGAACCTGTGCTAAGCTTGCGCATGTACTGTGACAGACATCATCAGAGCAAGAATCCATACTTTATAAAATACAGCAAAAGGTGGCCAGCTGCAACCCTAGTCGCTTTGTAGTAACCGAACTTCGCGATCTTAATGAGGCATCCCATAATTTGGTTGGCTATTTCAACCTTACTCTAAATGCTTACATATTTGTAAAGTCAATTCACGAAACGGAAGAACATACGGTGGCAGCTGTTTCCTTCCCCTTATAAACCAGAGTATCATCCTATAATATTGACTCCTGCTTGGGTTTGTGCTATTGTCTATTGTGTGCGTGTCATGTCCATGAAATGAGAGGTGTGATAGTCCCAGCTAGATTAGAGCCTAATCCAGCCTGCTTCTCTGGTTCAATGGCTCTTCCTACTGTCCCTCTCTCAA